AAGGTGGGGTAGGTAAGTTTGAGAAACCGGCTTGAGATACACTTTTTGTTATATTCCATGGAATGCTCTTAACATCCCGATAGCAATGAATATCTGAAGTGCTTTGACAATAAATACATTAAAACATCTCATCTCTGGAAGCCGTAGCGCTGTAAAAAGCACGACCAATCATCTGAGCCGGCCCGGCTAAAGTAACTGGATGGCCTACCTGCCTGTCAGCCTTCCATCTGTGCACAAACTTATCTCTGCCCTCATTGATCATGTGCGTGTTCGTGTGTGTTGGAGGAGGGGCTCTGTGAGGAAGTCTGAAGGAAGGGGCAGATTTTTTCGGCTGCGTACTTTCAAATTCTAACGCACTCGAGCTGGTCTCTCCATTCTTACCTACCCTACCTTTAAGTGATATTAAATATTCTGATCATAAATGGAGATATTGTGATACACGGTCACAACGTCTCAATTGATAAGAACAAGCACAAACTAATATAAGTTTCTCAAAACATCTGATGGGGAATATTTTGAGGGGATTATAAATGTAAGATTTTGTTTTTGGGTCACACTTAACATCACTACTCAGTTTAATGCGGTTAACAAACGATGTGTATATTGTACATATCGTTATATTTTTTCTCTCTGACTCCACTTTAAATTGTTATGTTTATTCGGCTTTTTTGTTCTTAATTTACTGAGAAAATACTCAGTATTTTTCTTTATTTTTCAAGTATTTAATTCACAAAGAAATACAAAAACCGTGTTGTTATTTAATTTATATTATCTAATTATGCTTACCGGAAATATGATGATAGATTTTGCGCACACATGTATTAATATTGTGTGCAGAGGTGCAGTATTCTACTTAATTAAAAGTTATTGTACCACTTTGTTACAAGTATAAGTCCTGAATTCAAAATGTAACATTAATAAAAGTTAAAGTATGAAAATATACTTAAAGTACCAAAGCTAAAAGTGCTTATTATTCAGAAATAATATATATTATATGACTAGATTATACTAAGTAATCCATTAATGTGTAATTTTAATTTTAAAGTGCAAGTTGAGCTAACTTTAACTACTATTTATACTGCCAACTATTGGTTGAAGTGTAATTTAGCATTGATTGGAAAGTAACATAAAAGTAACTCAAGTAAATGTATTTTGTAGTTACAGTCAACCAGTGATTATGTGTATGATCTTTTAAGAATAAAAACATTCTGTAGCCCTGATTGAAACAAGTAAGACATGTTAAACCAGTGTTAGTAAGGCTGTTATAACCACAGGAGGTTTTTATTGGTAATTGCGTTCCCTAATTGATTTTTGTTGCACTTTCCCAGGCCATGTATCTGGTGTACAGAGCCCTGGAGGGTGAGCCTGTTCCCATGTCTCTTCCACCACCCCTGGTTCCTCCCTCTAAGAGGAAAAAGCCCTCTGTGCCCCCCGTGATGCCCCTGTTACCCTCGCCCCCCTCCGTCAAAGACAGTCGCTCCGCCCACGTTGCCTCTAAGGCCCTGCCCCCGCCCCCAAGACCCGCCCCAGCTCCCGTCCCAGCTCCCGCCCCAGCTCCCGCCCCAGCTCCCGTCCCAACACCAGCCGCCTCCCCTGTGAGTATCAGACCCGACTCTCCTCTGCATGCACCGCCTCAAACACTGCCTCTTAGCTTCAACAACAAACATTTAAAATGATTTCAAACTGCTTAGCCCACTGTGTTTTTAAGAAAAAGATCAAGAAGAGGGATAGTGTGAAGGTAAGTCCTGAGTTAGGGGTTATGTCGTAGGTTGTTCTTGTATTTGTATGTTTTACTGTTCTACGTATCATAGGTCCAATTTTGTGTCACTTTATAATAGTATATATTAAATGTTTTTAGCTTGTATGGTCAAATGATACTTATACTGTCTGTTATGTGTGGATTGCACCATTGGGAATGCGTGGAATTTCGCTGTAATCTGTGTCGGGACAATAAAGGAATCTAATCTAATCAAATCTGGAGGTGCTGATTCAAAGTGTGTTTTGTTGCCTGTGCAGTGGGTGGTGTCGACAGCAGAGAAAGCTAAGTACGATGAGCTGTTCAGCAAAACAGACGGGGACATGGACGGCCTCGTGTCGGGACCTGAAGTCAGAGATATCTTCCTCAAAACCGGGCTTCCCTCCGCCACACTCGCACGGATCTGGTAAGTAGGGACAGCGAAGACACTTCAAAAGCCATAAGGTTGTGTACAGGATAGGTGGGTTGTGTGTAAAGAAAAGCCGTATGATGGGGAATTATTCTCGAAAAGTTTCACATCTGGTTCATCCTTAAATATTATTAAACACTTTCCTACGTAGAATTAAACTGTTATTGAGCCACAAGCTGCTTGGGTAATTTATGTTATTTTGACTGACTGTAAAAACGTGCATTAGAAATGATAAATTCACCACAGTGAGGCCTCATTAAAAATGCATTTAACAATGCTCACAAAAAGGACATTGACAACCACAGAAAAAGCAGAGCCCCGACATTTTAGTCTGCAAAAAAGTAGCACTTAGTTTATTGTAGTCTAAGTTAATATATATTTGCCAAAAACATGCGATACATACAAAGTAGAATAGAAATACATTTGAGGAAAATCAGTTGCCAGAGTAGATTTTGTTGGCATTAGGCTGCAGGAATTATTTTAAATTACGTGCTGTGTTTCAAATGTCCACAGTAGAAACACCTAGAAAATTACAATTCACTTATGACTGTAGTTGCAAAGAGTCAATGTTAATAAAGCATGAAACTAGAAACATAACGTTCCTGTGATTAAGATTATAATCTAATTAATCTAATGACAAAGGATGTCGCTCGAGTTGATATTGGTGCAGCATGAGCTCTTCATAGCGTGTTGAAACATCATGGTGAACACAATGATCGATCAACTATCTCCAATAGTTGTTGCCTGAGGTGTCAATTGTTTCTCTTTTATGTAATGTGTGTGTGTGTGTGTGTGTGTGTGTGTGTTTTCTCGTTCAGGGAGCTTTGTGATATCGGCGACATCGGGAAACTGACCCGGGAGCAGTTTGCTCTGGCGCTTCATCTGATCACTCAAAGGCTGACTACAGGACTGGAGCCTCCGCAGAGCCTTTCTCCGGAGATGATCCCTCCATCCGACCGACAGAACATCAAACAGGTGAGTCACTACGAGCCCTTAGATCTATGAATAGGAAATTGGTGATGTTTGGATTATATTTATTTGACTCCTTTGAGCTTATAATAAAGAAAATGTACATATTTTTGTAATTAAAAGGTGATTTGTATCTTGTGCTTCCTTAATCATGAGAGAAAATCTAGTGGTAGTTATTATTTTGCATTTTCATAAACTTCAAGCTTTGTTCCCTTCTGTTTTATAACCATAGATGACTCAATACCACTTTTTAAACGTCTGCCACCAGAGTGCCTACTTTTACCCACTATGTTTTACATTTTGAGATTAAACTAAGCTCCTAATAATATTTTTGTATGGATTCACTTTCAAAAAACATCATGCTTATGTTTATTTAAAGGTCCCATGTCATGGCCTTTTCTACTGATCATAATTCCATCGTTGAGGTCTACTAGAATAGATTTAAATTATGCAATTTTCCAAACTCACATTGGTTTCTCATACAGCATCTCTGTATAGTATGTGTATTCACTCTCTGTCCTAAACGGCTTGTTGGAGCTCCTAACCCCCCCCTCCCTATAAGCCCAGTGGCCGTCTGCGAGACAGCGAGACACAGCCCGAAACCAGCCCGAACACACACACACGCAGCCTCGCCGCGTCCCGCCGTTTCAGGTAGCAGAAATCGGCAGAGCTGCAGCTGAGAAAAGAGTGTGTGTGTGTGTGTGTGTGTGTGTGTGTGTGTGTGTGTGTGTGTGTGTGTGTGTGTGTGTGTGTG